GAAGCTCGATCTCCGTCAGTGGTCCACTCAGCTGGATCCTCACCTTCAAGGGAGAGAGAAGCTCGATCTCCGTCAGTCGTCCACTCAGCTGGATCCTCACCGTCAAGAGAGAGAGAAGCTCGATCTCCGTCAGTCGTCCACTCAGCTGGATCCTCACCGTCAAGAGAGAGAGAAGCTCGATCTCCGTCAGTCGTCCACTCACCTGGATCCTCACCGTCAAGGGAGAGAGAAGCTCGATCTCCGTCAGTCGTCCACTCACCTGGATCCTCACCGTCAAGAGAGAGAGAAGCTCGATCTCCGTCAGTCGTCCACTCAGCTGGATCCTCACTGTTAGGGGAGAGAGAGAAGCTCGATCTCCGTCAGTGGTCCACTTAGCTGGATCCTCACCTTCAAGGGAGAGAGAAGCTCGATCTCCGTCAGTGGTCCACTCAGCTGGATCCTCACCGTCAAGAGAGAGAGAAGCTCGATCTCCGTCAGTGGTCCTCTCAGCTGGATTCTCATTTTCAAGAAAGAGAGAAGCTCGATCTCCATAAGTGGTCCACTCAGCTATATCCTCACTGTTAGGGGAGAGAGAGAAGCTCGATCTCCATCAGTGGTCCACTCAGCTGGATCCTCATTGTCAAGAGAGAGAGAAGCTCGATCTCCATCAGTGGTCCACACAGCTGGATCTTCATTTTCAAGAGAGAGAGAAGCTCGATCTCCATCAGTGGTCCACTCAGCTGGATCCTCATTGTCAAGAGAGAGAGAAGCTCGATCTCCATCTGTGGTCCACTCACCTGGATCCTCATTGTCAAGAGAGAGAGAAGCTCGATCTCCATCAATGGTCCTCTCAGCTGGATCCTCATTTTCAAGAAAGAGAGAAGTTCGATCTCCATAAGTGGTCCACTCATCTATATCCTCACTGTTAGGAGAGAGAGAAGCTCGATCTCCATCAGTCGTCCACTCAGCTGGATCCTCATTGCTCGAGGATCGACTATTTAACTCTCCTCTCAAATGTGTGTCTCCCTCTGTCAGTGATAAAGTGAAACTGACCAAATGCCACCAATATGGTTATATTCCTTTAACCATTCCATTCTGCTCCTTTATATCAAAGCACCACCATTATGACACGTGTGTGTTCTATTCTGCTCTGTTCTATTTTGATAGTAACAGCAGCCATCTTTACATTCTGAAAAAAACATGTTTTCATTTCAAAATAACAATTTTCAACAATAACACTTTTGCTCCTGATAGTGTACAGAAAATACATTTGTATAGTTTAAACAAACTATTTAGTGATATTACCGTCAGAATAGCACTGATATTATAATATGTGTGCATGTGGGTGATTCAATATATATACGATCCATTAATAAAGTTATAAAAATACAGCTTTGACTTTTACAAATGCACTTTTTTTTTTGCATTCAACAAGAGTTATTTTAAAAAGTCTACATGGCTGTGTCCGAAATCACAATCTACTCACATACTGTATCGTAAATACAGTAGTTTGTAGTGGTGTCTTAATTCTGAGTGAGCATGATTATACCCTATATAGTACCCTCATTGTATCCCACAATTCACTGTGAAAAGTGGTGATGGCCGATGGTCACTTTCCAAGCAGTATATACTGTGATGGAATTTCTGTACCTATTTAGATTTTAATGTACAGACATCATTTTGTTGAGTCACTGTTTCTTATGTCAGTCAGAGCTGATAGGGTTCAGGTGTGACTACACAAGTAAGGACAGCTTAATGTGTCAAGTGTCCTCCTCCGTATCTGCAATGTTGTTCGGCTTAGTGTCCACTTTGAATTGTATTAAGACATAACATCCTGTTTTAGGTGGGTCATTATGACTGTGGCATCAATAACGTCTTTTGGGATATGAAGCTCTGGGAGCAAAGCCAAGGTCAGCATTTAATTTAATCTAAGCTAGCCCGTCTATGTTGTTTCTACAAACAAACTGCACCAGAGTCAAAAGAAAAAGTGTACCAAGACGGGCAAGAGGTATTGGTACAGTTGTTTTCTCCGCACCAGGGTTCGATTGACAGTGTTCACACCAGCACAAACCAACTTGGGAAACGAACTCTCAAGATTATTTTGACCGAATCAAACAGGTTAGGTGTCGAAACACCCTAAAGCATTTTGAAAAACGCTTCCATAATGCACTGTTGAAATCCTATGACAAGAAACAACAATGTTCACTATTGAACATTAACATGAATGTGCTAGATTACTAGACTTCACGTATTAGGGAAAAAACAGGTAAAATAAGTATTTAATTTCTTCTTAATCAGGGGAATTAAAAATGTTTGGCAGCTGCTATATCAAACGATCCCCATCATATCAACCTTCACAGACATTGGTTTGTTGTTAGATGAGATAAAGTGAGACCGTGAGACCCTGGCCAAATTCGGGCCCGAAGCAGAATTTTATTTTGAGGCCACTCCCCCCCCCCCCCCATTATAAAATGACTGTATCAAGAAATGCCATTTAGGTTTACAACCTTTATTAGTCGGAACAAATCAAATGAACAGCCTCTATCAACAATGGAACAAGCCTTTAACAGATGCACACGTCTGCATTTTCTGGATGCAAAGTCATCAATGAGGTCATACATATGACAGCTGCTGTGCCTTAAAAGGCCCTCGGAGCACTTATTCAACCCGATCGACGTCTGATAGGTGTGCTGGCCACATAGCAGGATCAACTGATTGTGCACTTGGAGTAGTGATAGTTGCATCTGTAGCTGAAGAGATGTTGCTTGATGGCCTTGGTGATATGCTGGGTGCTGCTGCATTTGTACCTGTTGACATGGTGCTTGATGGCCCTTGTGACGTACTGGGTGCTGGCTCTGTGTAAACCTTAGTAACAAACTTCAACATTGACCCTGTTATGACAAGAAATCCATCATACAAGCAGATTATTAAGATTCGTTTTGGTCTTAATGGTAAATTACACAATGAAATTAATGTAAATACTAGCCTCACAAAGATTAAAATGCAATTAATGCAAATACGACTACAACTAATAATAATATTCATTATGATTTGATTTGATGATATTTTTATATTTAAATATTTTTATATACTTATTTTTACATTTTGTACTTAGGTTCTATATTCCTACACTGCTGTTTGCTGCTGCAGTGCTTTAAATCTCTCCATTGTGGGTCAAATAAAGGATTATCTTAATTTATCTTTTTTTATCTAAACTTAAATGACTGTTATGAATTAAATTCACCAAGAGATGGCGACATTTTACCTCCAGAAAAAAAGCCCAAAACTTTATTGATAGCATAGATTGATAGGCTATAAACCTGAGCCATTATACGACCACCAACTGGTCAATTAACCACTCCTTTTTCAACAGAGGTGAATGTATATGCAGTTAACAAGACATTCAATAAATGATAATCAGGGCCGTTGGAAAATCCTCATTGTCTTGAGAGAGAGAAGCTCGAACTCCATAAGTGGTCCACTCAGCTGGATCCTCATTGTCAAGAGAGAGAGAAGCTCGATCTCCATCAGTGGTCCACTAAGCTGTTCCTTATTTTCCGCTGGAAAATTTAATCTCCAGTCCACATCTAGACAGAATTTTCCTCTCTTCTGTCTCATGATTAGCAGGCTAGCAGCTGGGGTGTTTATGCCACAAAGTTTTTCTTTTTTATTTCAACAACATACCCACCTTAAAGTGAAGCACGAGCCTCCTCTGGTTTTGAGTTTTTCTTTCTTTTGCTTGCTCCCGATTCATATTGCAGTTTGGAGGCCATCTCTCCACCTGCATCCAACTGCCTGTCGGCGCATCTGACCGCTGATTGGTCAGATGCTGCGTGCTGTTGATCATTGCGGCAACGCGTGCGGTGTCAGATTACTCGTCTCTTTTTTCTTCTCTCCTGCCTTGGGCTGACTTGGTGCTCAACACGCGCCTCACGGCAGCAATGCACATCCCTTTGCGCATTTGCAGATAATGCATCCCCTTGCGCAAAATGGGGCCCCCCATGGATTGTGGGGCCCTACGCACAGCGTGTGTTCTGCGTGTAGAGAGGGGCAGCGCTGCCTGTCTCTCTTATCTTTTTCTCTCACAACTTAACAAAATCAGACGTCTACAACCTCTTCCAGAGAGCCAGTCTGTGTGAGCAGAGTGCAGCGTGTGGAGAAGCAATAATCACACAGATGTTGGCAGAAGGAAAAAATATCAAGCTTTATTAAACCAATCAGGGACATAGATTGTGTGATTATTACTTTGTTCTGTAACTCAAATGTGTTCAAATTTTCACTTGTTTAAGTGTTGCTATTTCTGCTTTTGTTTTTCTGTTTTGCTCCATCCCTCTGACCCCCCACATACTGTTAAGAACAACCGTTACAACAACAGGGATGCAAAGTTTATTATTCTTTTGTTCCTTTTTTCTTTTTATGTTCGTTTTTTCTTTTCAAGACAGAACATGGGTGCCGACTGGATCCTTAAATTATTAGTGCCAGCATGTGGCACTCTAGGTGGCCGCCTGTATGGCCTATGCCAAGAGCCGGCCCTGCCAACACCACGTTCTCGGGTAACAGCCAATCCAAGGTTCACCCTTGTTTTTGAACTCGTTTTATCTTCTTGCAACTATGATTATAGTTTATTTTATTTTCCGTCATCTTTGCTGGTTTGAATCGCATCCAATTGAAACACACTAGCCCCCCAACCAGAAACGTCATGTGTCAACTAAAACAACACAAAACATGCAAATTAGAGGACGGGCAGAGGACAGGGTCTCTGGAAACACCGTCACCACAACACATGTATGGAGGCCCATAAAGTGATGATTGAGCAGCATTACTTTTGTAAAAGTCTATATTTATATATATCATGTCCAAAATTGAATCAGCTTGAAGCTTGAGGCAGGTATTTGTTTAGTGATGATTGTGCTATCTATACAATTGACTTACCTTGACTCTGAGCTCACAGGATGGAATTTGTTATAAAATGTGTGGAATCTAAACTTAAGATAATGAGAGAAAAATTGCAGAAGACAATGAATCCTCCATAAGCCTTTTTATTTCACAATAATCACGCTATTACCACTTCAAAGTGACATTAAACTCTGAGATATTAGATATTTGAACTCTTTATGTTGTTTCTCCCCCAAAAGTACACTTCCCACTTTCATTTTGTCCATTCCTGCAGGTTTTTTCTTCTTCAGAATTTGCTCATATTTGTCACACTGGTCCTTTGTTTACGGGTCTTTTTGCACGTGTTGTAGGATATGGTGATGATGAAAACCAGCACAAGAAACCCAACCACTGCTGACAAGCCAATCATCGCCTCCTTTCCATAATTCTTCTCTGGAACGAACAGAAAACATGCAAACAAAGTCATGAATCAACCAACCAGCCAAGAAAAGCAAATTATGTGTTAAAAAACAGACAAAACAAAATGGTAGATTTACGTAGTGAGTCGAGCAGAAGTGCAGAGATCTCAGAAACAACAATAACCTTTTCACATTGCGATAAGATAAGGCTTTACAGCTGGTAGATAACGTAAAGCAGCCTGTGTTATATCAGAAGAGTCTCTCAATAAATGTTATCTATGTGAATCTGAGAGTTCAGTTTTTATGGAGACTGGTTCAAAGTGCTGTTGCCTTTACAATCACTGAACAATACCTTTTGTAGAAATGTGGGTGCTAGTTTAAATGAGCAATGTGTAAGATATCTACTGAATAAACCCATAACATGATCTTACTATCTCATCAGACATTAAGGAAACATGCTATGTTAAAGTGCTGGCACAATGCAGCAGCCTGTATGTCCTCCTTCTAAGTTTAGATTCCGGTCCGTTTTTGTTTTTTTCGTGTGGTATGCCCAGCATTTCAACCCTCTTTTGCGATTTAGACTTTCAACCAATTTCCCCCTCTCACTGATTTTCAATCATATTCTTCCCATTAAATTAAAGACAATGCGGATACAGTAAAAAAGTTATGATATAAGTGATTCAGTGTTAAGATCGTTTTGTCAAAACCAAGGTAGGAATGATATTTCATGGAAATCAACCTTACAACACTTTCAGCTAAATATATAATATACAGTATTCTCCCAAGAATGCAGGAACAAGTAAATGTTTTCATTTACTTACTGTCATTGTCTCCTATGTCTTTCCCAGGAACCAGCATGTGTTCAGTTTTATTCAACTGTCCGTCATGTATCTCTGGCTTTATCCCCAGTAGATGACACATAAGTGGGTACACATCCACCATGTCAAGGGGTCCTACTATCTTGTTTATTTCAAAGTCCGGTCCCACTGCTCTGAAGATTGACTGCATGTCACTGACTTCATTATCAAAACCGTGCTCTCCTTTGTTGAAGTTCAACGGTAAAATCTGAATAGACAAAGAAATCAGAAAAATTATATGAAACATAATTGTGTTATTGATCAAATTTAATATATATATTATTTTTTTACAGAATACATAGATTAAACGACACCAATATGAGAGGGTAAAGGGCAACAAATTCTAAGCCTGGGACAATATATTTAAGAAGTATATCTATCAAGCCCTTTGAACACATGTATTTCTAAAACTATCAAGAATGTTTCCTGTGGCGCGCTGGTGGTGCAATGGTTAAGGCGCGTGTCCCATGTGTTGAGGCTCCCATCTCGAGCGATAGGCTCGAGCTCGCTTCCACCCGTGGCCTCTTTCCGCATGTCATTCCCCACCTATAGCCTCCGACTGGGTGTTAAAAATATCATACCATCACTCCTCAGACTTCTGCATGTACGAAATACAACTGCAAAGAATGATGAGGTCCAAGCCTGGACACACAAATAAATATTTGAAACAAATTCAAACACGAGATGTCGGATTTAACTAAAGTTAAATGTAGGGAACACAACTCCAAGGTATATCTGTCCTTAATATTTCTGTTAAGATGACCTTTAAAGAAAGACCTTTGTGAGAAAGATTGACAACAGAAGCTACAAGACACCCAGGATAGGAAAGATAACTGGACATGTGGTGGGTTTCTGATATAAGACTACTTTTCAACTAGATAGAACATTTTGCAGCACATAGCTCACTGAATATGGGTTTTGTGCTCCAACATGGTCACTCTCACCCCATTGACAATGTATCCAGGGTCAGCAATGAGGATAATGGGCAGGAGTCGAGGATGGTTACTGTAGTGCAGTCTAGATGGCATCTCTTCTTTCTTATACACATGAAGGTGAGGGTGCCCTCCTTTCAGAGCCTGGTAGACCGTCTCCAGCTTCCCCTCTTTAGGAAGCAGCATCCCAACAGGACCATAATCCAACAGCTGGAACTGGATATCTTTGAAGCTGAAGCCAGGGATCTTAGAGAGGATGATCTTCTTAACTTCTCCTCCATGGAAGATCTTAGCCATCCCGTGGTCGGCAGTGATGATGATGTTGAGCTTGTCTGTGAGGCCATGCTGTTGGATCTTGTCCCGTATGTAGCCCACTGTTCGGTCCACTTGCTGGACCATTTCTCTGCATTCTGGAGAGTCGGGTCCAAATTCGTGCCCTGCCAAATCTGGTTCGCCAAAGTACAAAGAGACAAAGTCCAGGTCCTGTTGGTAGAACCATTCTTCAACCACCTTGTCGATGTTCAGTTGCCAATCTGTCTCGTTAGAATGATCGTAGAAAGGAGGCTCCACTAGCCGATACTTCACTATCTCTCCTCTGTATTTAGCTGCAGTGGCAGGAAAATGCAGAGAACCTACCTTCAGACCCTGGAACAATATTATAAATGTATTAAGTTATTTTAAAGAAAAGTCCTTTCTGGAAAACCACAAAATATTGAATAAAATAAGCAACATAATGCAGCAAATCTTCAAAGTAAAAAGTATATTGGTGATGATCAAGAACCTGTCTCTGTGCTGTTATCCAGATTGGTAAGGTCCCATTGTCCCAGTAGGAGTCAACAAACTGAGTCTGGTAATACTGCTTCTTCTCCTGGGTGGTTGTGTTGAACCAAATGTTGTGGATTACTCCGTGATTCTCAACATGACGTCCTGTTGAAAGGAAAGATAATAGGTTTAGGAATAGGAACTACTATAGAGGCTGTTATCACATTAGCACTCCGGACAATTTTCTCCAGAATTTTAGGAAGACTGCCCCTGAAATCCTCCTGATCTGGTTGTTCACACATGCACCGCACAGGGGAAGAATGTCCCTGTCTGACAGGAGGGGATGGTGAGGAAGATGTGACGTCAAAAATGACGTGCGGACGAAGCAACTGACAGTGCTATACAACACTACAATAACAATTTTCATCTTTATATCAATGCAATGTGTATTGGACAGAATCACACTATCAAAAAAGAGCTGAGAACAACATACTGGTTAACAGAAGAGGTAATGCAGCAGCTGAATAATGAGCATGGGGATGGTACCGGTCGCATGCATTCCAGTCTATGGCCATACCTGTATGGTAAAAATACAACGGGGCTGGCAGGAGAAACTCCAGATAAAGTCCCAAGTGAAAAATGTGTCCCTATTTGTTCACACATGCATCCTTGGCTCAGTTGTATTCAAAGCATCATACCGGTTTAAGCAGTATATTATTATGTTATCATCATAGTTATCTTTATAAAAAAAGCAATTTTCTTAGTTGGTAGACTTCCTACAAAAGATAGGCACTTGAAAAGATCAGCCTTAGATTTTTTGGTAAGCACTTGTGGCTTTGATGTCACTGGCCCTTTTCTGTTTTCATGAAAAGTAGTTCCAGCCAATGATTGGACATCGTTCTTATTATTATTATTAATAAACTATTTGGAAAGCCATGAATCCAATAGGAATTGCACTAACCAATTCTCTTAATGTGCTTTTGCTTACGTCTACCTCATAAGGGCCATACTAAGCAAAGCATATAAGGTTAAAATTCATGCTCAACAACTTACTATCAATAATAGTTAATGGCCTATTTGCTATAGACTATGGGCATATAGAATAGGGCACTAATATGCATGCAATATGCTACTAAGTAGCATGCTAATAAGCAACTAATAAATTGTGAATATTGTGATTGTTAATTCAAAGTGTTACCAAAACAAGCTAATACAAAGAGCTTTACCTGTCAGCATTGTGAAGTGAGAAGGGCTGGTTATAGTGAGGAAGGGTGGTGTGAGATATTTTGCCTTCACCCCATCCTGGGCCATTTTATCCAGACTAGGGGTTTCAACATATCGGTCATAGTCCCAGCGGAAACCGTCGAAGGAGATGAGCAGCAGCTTGTTTCTGGCGTGCGCAGTGATCGCAGAGTCTCGCTGTGGGGCGGCAGCACAGGGAGAGCTGGCAGTGAGGCTGAGGACGGCGAGGCAGAGCAGCAGCATGACCGAGAGTTTAGTCCTTGTTGAAATGATCCCGGAATGGAACAGATTGCTACTTTATTACGATTTTTTAATCTATCTCTGCTTTCTTTTACATGCAAGCATTAATGGACAATAACAACAACCCTCAAACTCCCGAAAAAAAACCTTAGTGCCCCCCTTCTCCTCAGTCAGAAAATTATGACACTGTATTACACAATGTCAGGGAACACCATTAACATTGGTCACCACTTATCTAATCATAAACATAAGCCAAGATTTATATCTTTTTTATGGTTCTACAACGTGTGTGTGTGTTTCTGAAAACGTGATAGCGTTAGCTGAGAATAATTCTGAACTTGTAACATCTGCAGTTGTGCCATATAGGAAAGGTGCTGACCACCAACCAAAATAGTTTTCCTAAAGCTCCTTGAATTTATCATTATTTAACATCAATAAAAGGAAGATATTACGGCAGCAAATCTAAATCTTTTATACGTTAGTTATGGTGAAAATATTTCCCTTTTGCATTACCATCACCACTGTTATTCATTTATTCAGTTAGCCAAAGAGAGAACCACCGAAGTAGTTCACAGGAAATTCTCAATTGGCATTTGAAGGAGAAATATGTAACTGACACCTGGATTTTACAATGGGTACTGCAATCCAAATTCAAAACAATGGAGAGAGCTGTCTCCCCTGAGCTGAGTCGAAATGCATGCAAGGTTGCCATGCCGTGGACACTGAAGCTTCAGTTTGTAACCTGCTCTTGAAACCTCCCAGCGCTCTATCCCCCCTCCATTTTTACATCTCCAATATTTGTCCTAGTTTAACCACGTTTCTTGTCGTGGAGCCTATTAGAAAAAGACCAAGACTTTTTAGGTTGTATGGAATCAGGTATATCTGAAGCAGTTTGCTTTTCGCCTTCATCATTGTAACACCTGTTGGTTTTTTCCGTTTACCTGGCAAACCGAGGGGCGTCCAAAACGGCCCTGTAGGGGTGTCTTGAAATCGCCTACCTTCTCTGGTCAAAACAAATACAAACATTTCTGGCCTGGAATCTAACCTCAAAAAGGAGGACAAACTTGCTGCTGCATTGTTGTCAGATAAGCCAGAACTTCAAAATAGCATGATCCTTTAATGCCTGATGATATAGTAAGGTCATTTTTTGATTTAATTCAGGAGATATTTAACATATTGGTCCTTTTAGTTGTAAAGTGGAGCAGATGGCTACTTATCAAAGCGGGTTCGTTTTAAGATAGGTACCTATTAGAAAAAATGTTTTTTCTAATATTGTTAAACATTGACTCTGCTTCATATGTCATTCGATCACTTTTATTTTAACTTCATAATTTGTTATGTGAATAAAAGATGCTGATTGTGATTTGACTTACTGGATGTCTTTGACAAAGCTGATCAAAATGTAAGGATGAAGGATGTAAGAAATGTAAAGCAGGAGACTACAGAGTGTTTGGAGGGGGATCAGTGGCTTTATTTTTGTACATCATACAGGGATTTGTACTGTTCAAGTTGAAAACCTAATAAAAAAAAAGTAAAGAAAACAGTAAGGATGAAGCCATGTTTGGATTAACTGCTATTAATATACAGCTGATAGAATAAAACACTGATGCTTATAAAGCAGCTCTGAATAATACGTCAACATCATAAAGAATTCATAGTGAGTGAAAAGAAGTAGGCTAAACATTCATCTAAACTAAAGCTAATCTAATCTAAACTAAACTTTACAATATTAATCCTTAGTTTGCATTTGGATTGTAATCTTTATGAATGTATAAATAGTGAAAATGCAATCTTGAGATACTGTATACGTGCCATATTTTGTCATGCATTAGATATAGAAATATTCACAAGTTGATAAATTATTACATTCGCACCCCATATAAACCAACATTGGTTATTTAAAAAAAAAAAGAAATATCTTTGAAATGGAGGCCAACATAATAATCAAACTAGATTCTTAGAAACTGGTCTGCTTCATGTCTTTCCTTTCTTCACCAGCAGTAAGTTCGAGTTTGGAGCTGACGAAAGAGAGAAGAAGAATTAGTGAGATAACAGTGACTGTAGCATTGTAATGAAAGACAAGATTGGCTTAACTGGGGGAGTGTAACGAAAGAAAAACACATCTTCATGATTAAAGCATTTTACCTATTTTGTGCTCTGCTCCTTTTACACCAGGCATTAGAAATTGTTGCTATGAACACCAGCACCAGAAACCCAGCCATTGCTGACAGGCCGATAACCACTTGGAACTGGGTATCCATTTCTAGATGAGCAGACAGACAAGAACATCTTAGCAGAGAGTTAACCATATGGCAAACGAACATAGCTGGGGACACTCAACAACAAGATGACGCTATTGAGATAAATGTTATTTAGAAGGTCGGCCATGCACTCTAGTGATGATCAATAGCGTTGGTCATGCACTCTAGTGATGATCTTTTCTGCACACAGTCACTTATACAGGTACTAATTCCTGCTTTCTTACAGTGCAGACGCTTTTCTTCTTGTTCTCTGCTTTGCTTACATTCTTTTGCTGATATCTTATTTTTTCTAAACCTAATTTAATCGACAGCCGGTCCTGGACATTTATAAATCATCAGGATGTATTTTTTGATAGATACAGGAGGTCTTTAGCCATATTTTAACATATTTTGACCTCTGCATCGCTGCATGACTGTGGCCTGACAAGAGCACAAGCCTGTGCCGCAGTACAAGGCTAAAGCTAATCAGCAACACATTACCACAAACTTCTTCAGATAATTGCAATGCTGGAGACAAAGATGAATCGCCTAGAAGTAAATGTGGAAGTGAACGGACTGTGAGGGAATGACACCACATTACCACTAACTCTAACTAACAAGAGCAAGCTAAAACCCAGCTAAGGAGCACAGAGACCTCTACAATGACAAAGGTGGGCTCTGTATTGTCTAATAAGTCTACGAATGGTAGTCCTCCTTGGAACTCTCTTGGTGCTAAGCCAAAGAATAAATAATTTCTCTGGGAAATGGGAGGATGGATAACAGGCAGAGCACAGCGAGCTGAGATATGTGATGAGACTGGCTGGCCTGCACTACCTCCCCTACAAAGTGCCTCCTCAACCCCTGTATCTAGAGGGACACAGCCGTGGACAGCTGCGAAAGGGAAGGTTAGGAACAAACCTCCCCTACAACCGAATCTGGAACTACCTTGCCTTGCCTTACTCTTACTTACTGTAGTATTGCACAATATAATATATGACCACTCTGATATGTCATTCTAAGAGAAGTGCTGATTCAGGAAAAGTCAAAGGTCTATCATCTGCTCCTTATCAGTCCACTTAAGTCAATATGTGTGGATTGGATGCCAGCTTTATGACTGTGTTGATGATTTCGACTTTTAGTAAGAAAATTAAGACTCCAAAAAATGATGCAGCATGTCTTACTATTAGCATAGTGATTTTTGTCATCATCTGTACAAAACTGAAGAAAAAATGGACTAGTCAGAAACAGAGATTAAAACTGTAATTTAGGGCCACAACATAAAGATTAACTTCATAAAGTCATTTAAGATTTTAAGAGAGCCTTCTGTGTTTTTATGTAGACGAATGTATGGTCCCACTTGTTTACATTTCCATAAACTGTATCAAACATGGACGTAGTCTCATTGAGGTCACCCATTGGTTATTGGGTCCATTATGAACCCAACAATGGCGGTCACCATATTGAAAATTATATCTCGATGTAACTTTGCATCAATCCAGTAAAGGCAAAGAGGTGTTTGAAGCCTTCTCGCAAACCGGTGCTCCTATTTATGCAAATGTATGAATTGCTCTGAGGCTTAATAAATGTGGTAAATGATTAATGGACTGATACCTGGGTTGATACTTAATCTTTTGTTATATTTGCATTTTAATGTGTCAGACACCCACCCTGCAAGACAGAGCACTACCGCAGGTCGTTCATCCCATCTGCTGTCAGACTGTTTAATCGGACTCTCTAACAACATCACCACCTCATGCTACACACTGTGTGTGTGTGTTTTTTTTTTTAAGAACAATCCCTTAGTTACTGTGTAATTTTACATTATTGTATTTTTTATTTAAATTATGTAAATATGTTTGATTTGATTTTAACTTCTATTTTTATTTTAATAAGTATATTCCCGTCCCCTGTTTTCTGGAGCTGCTGTAATGCACAAATTTCCCCCACGGGGGATCAATAAAGTTTATCTTCTTATCTTTAATATGGGTATTAAAGGGGCTTGTGGGCTTTGGCAGCCAGCCTCTAATTGACACTTGAAGAACTGCAGTTTTTGCCACATCCGTATTGCCTTCATTTTTCAACACCGTTTGTTGCCGCTTTGATATTTCATATATGCCAGAGGCAACTTCTGTAACCAGTGATAAGTGTTTGCCAAATAACTTAAGTTTGTGCTCAATTCTATGAACACAACATTTCAAAGCAATTTAAGCTGTTCTAAAAATTGATTAAAGACATGACTTTATAGGGATAATTTACACAATCCTCCAAGATTTTGACTTGATGTCAGGTCCTAGTTAAAAGTTCACAAACTTCAAGAAAGTGTTCCTTGGGATTTTGCCCCATTGATTACAAAACAAAACACAATTGTATAACAAAATTGTCTGATTATGGCTCCAAAGTCCTCTGATGGCTGCTCTATCATCAACAAACTCTGTGATTAAGTTGTTTCCTAACAAGTTTTTACCACTTTGAAAGGGGATTTATTTGTTGCCTACTTGTTAGCTAGTTACCTCAGTTAATGCCTGGACTGAAAATTAAGAGCACCTGGGGAGTGTTATGAAGATGGTTGGCTTTTTGCAGGATCAGTAAAAGTGGGGCAGGAACCAAACCAGGTAAAGGATCCACCTTACACAATCTGGTGGATTTCATTGGACAGGTAAATGCAGTAACACACATTCATAACCAAGAACCAACAGCAACACTGGCAAGAGTGACATTTAAAATTTGGCACGATTGAATTAAGGTTGACTTGACCAGATATGAATAGCCTTGTAGAAAATCTGAGTAAAACACGTTTATGACACACAGAATAAAATACAACTCTTCTTACCATTGCCATCTCCCTCTGGGTTTATCTTGGGGACCAACATGCCTTTAGTATCGTCCAAGTGTCCATCATTGATCTCAGGTTTCATTCCTAATAGATGGCACATCAGTGGGTACACATGA